TCTATATATGGAAAATATGATGTGCTTCAATTGCATAGATTTAGAATATGGTTTGATGGCTCAGCCTGTTTTGGAGGCGATCTAAGAAAGCACTGACTGTACAGTCTGCCACTAATCTAAAAGACATTAAAGTTTCCCTGGACTCTTAGAAGTTATTATTTGAGTTAAAAACCTTATCAGGAAACCATGCTTGGGAAATCACATAGAAACATATTTCAATTAATGATTCAGAACAACTCTTTTTGCTTTGGAAACTGACTCCGTACTGTAAATTCTATCTCTGCTGTACAGTGCTTCACTGCTAGCATATGAATAATGGATATTATAAATAAGCATAGCAGAATGAAAATTCAGATAACAATATTACGGAGCTTCCATTCACAAATGTAGTTCATGAGTGATTCAAATTTTATGGCTCTTACCACCAATGACTGAATTTGCATATCATCAGAAAATTCTTGCAAGCCCCCATTCTGCATTTCTGATCTCAGGGCTTTTATGGTAAGAAATATTGCATTAGGCACAGTAATTTACATTTTTTTGATAAAACTCTAAATGCATGTGCAGGTGCTCTTTATCAAGTGAATTCATGCTATAAATTATAAGCTTTGAAGCAAATATATTAGAACAAATATTGATTTCTAAATAGTCATAATGAGTGAGATTTTATCCTTGCTGTTGACTTATAGCAGCTCTGTCCTTTAGAGCTGTATTTTATCTCCCAGCAGCTATCCTTCATAGCAAGTAAGTAAATAAATAACATTGTCTCACTTCTGACAGTTCAATTCACTCAATTCCGCATGACTATAGTAGCAGGTATGAGTCAGTGCCAAGAATCTCCTAGATCACTGCTCTGATTCTCGGACAATTCCAGATCTGCAACTATCATAAAGACAGTTTTCAGCATACCATTATCACTGAGCATCACAGGATATGCAAGAGAAGCAGCAGATGAAACAAAAGTGTGGTGCCTCTTGGAAAAAACTCACACAACCTTACAATCAATAGCATGCTTCCTCGCTCAATAACTTACCTTCTTTGTGTCTTTTCTCTATGTCCGACATTTTCCAGGAAGAGGTAGGAATCCATCTCTTACAATTATGCATAGGAGCTTTGTATGGCTCAGTTGTGTTTCTGTGTTTATTCTAAAGCATTTTTGAATTTTACAAGTCCACGGTTCCTCATTGTGGGCTTGAGGCAATGCAATGCAAGATGCTATATGCTGCATCTGTTAGAGTAAGATAACCACATACCAATAAGATGCAAGCACTCCTTGGCTTCATGAAATAGTTCTCACATGTTTGTTTTAAGGCTGCAGTGCAACACTGCTTTTCTTTCACAGGAAGAGAGGACAACAGCTATTTTTGTATTGCTTCCCAGGAAGTGTAACAACATCTTCACTTTCAAAACTGACCAGCAAGAACCCCAAAGTTCCCCTGTGCAGTAGTGCCACCAACGCCAGGAGGAAATGGAGCAGTCACTGCATTTCAAATGATCGTGGAAGACATTTTAATGAAATAAAAGACAGTATTTCTTGGTGGACAGTTTAATAGAAGTTAAAAACTGTATGCCAAATTTCTTTCAAACAGAAAGATCTGCACTTCTGATAAGTAATTTAATAGTTTAGGATATGTTCATGCTGTTCTTAACTAGACATAACTCTCTTTTAAGAGCTTACTGATGATTTAATAACTCTAGCCTAGTTTTACTTTCAGAAGTATTTTTAATATCCATTTACAGAACATATTATAAATTGGTAACAATCCCACATTTGAAATATTGCTGCTTATAAACAGCACAACTGATACCATCTACATTTTAAAATAAAAAAAGCAGCCATCCCAGTACTTTTGCAAAACCTCTGCTGGTAGAGGGCAAGAAATAACTGGTAAAAACATGATGCAAGTAGCATCCCTTGAGCTGGTGGCTAAAAAACACCGGCACACAAAAGGCAAACAGCCCTTAACACAGAAAAGAGGCCAGTTGGAGTCTGGAAAAAGTTTCTTTCCTGACAAAGGAGGCTGCAGTGCATACAGGCCACTGGCTCAAAGGTGGACATGAGAAACAAACACGAATCTGAGGTGGCATCCCAGATGCACCAGGTGGTTCTGCGCATATGCAGCATGAATTCAATCTCTATTTTAACCAATTCTATCTGTCAGTGCTACCTGCTTTGTGGTATTCACCAGAACCCAAGCTGCTTTTTCACATTTCATGTATTTATTTAAAAAAATAATTTTGGAGGGGGAAAAAAAAACAGTAAACAATCCAATTGCAGATTTATTACAGTTTTGGCAAGTAAAGGGAATGAATCTACTTCATGAACAAAACATAGCCATAGATAAGTATACTGAAGAATTCTTAATCAAATGATAAACTGGAAACAGCATATGCAATATAGATTTATATATTAATATATTGGTTACATTCTTCTTAAATAGATTATACAACATTCATTAGCATTATCCAAAAGTATTTCTTCGTGGCAAGAGATTCATCTTCATTTATGGCAACACAGTTTCTCTGTAACTTAATATCCACTATGACAATTTTAGGATTTTGGGCTAGAATCAGTATTTAACACCATCGGGTTAAATCCAGAGTGAGTGATTAAAAACTGGTTTCTAGGAGAATGCTACTTCCAAGACTTAAGGTCAGATCTGCAACTGGTAAAACTGGCAGAGTGCTGGTTAGGCTGTGGGATCTCCTTCAAAACTTGATTTTAGATTAAAGCTGGATTCCCATGGGGAAAAACACTGACTCTGCTCAGGATCCCCAGTTCAAGACACACTTCCCTTTTTTTTTCTGTAAACAAATGTTAACAAAATAAACTCTCTGTACCCTGTTAACCATTTCTTAACATAAAAACAAGGAATTACTTGGAGTAATAGAGAATTCAGTATAAAATCATCCTACTCTAAGCACCATCAGTATCAAAGTGCTAGCAAATGGCACAGTGTTTTCTGTTTGCAGCCAAATTCCCTGCTTCTTATGTTTCATATTGTGAATCTCAGCTCCAGCAGAACTTTGCTCAAGACTCCAACCACGACAGCTAAATCGATTATCCAAGCTCTGTGTTTGCTCTCAGCAGCCTCATCTTCCACCGAGATGCCCAAAGTGCCTCTGAAGTGGCTGCCCTACAACACGTTTGCTGTGCTGGGCCCCCATGCCAGTGCCGCAGGTACCTAGCACGTACCCGGCAAAGTTCTCGGTGCAGTCAGAAGAGCAACCAAAATGAGCAAATCCCCCATCACGTTGCATAGTTCAGTTGAGCAGTGCCTCTCCTGACCCTTCATGGTGGTGTCCTAGCGTGCTCTCCTAGCGGCTGCTCCTCTTCCCACCAGGCCCTAGCAGAGACCCCCATAATCTGCCTGTTTGGGACCTCTTTGGCTTACTCAGCTTGGTTCGAATGACGACTGGCTGATACTTTGGAGTCTGAATAAGAAATAGTGCAAATTCAAGCTTTAAGAGAGAAAAAAAAAATACCACACTACCTTCACTGAACATTCAGTTAAAAAGACAGGATCCATGAGATGAAACCCCCGTTGTGGGGGAACTGGAGACATTTGTCAAATGTGTTAAGGATTCTTCATGATTGTCTTCAAGAAGCATATTTGGTTTAGCTTGGTGCTAGACACTTAAAATTATTTGCTAACATTCTACTTAACAGCACTGTGGCTAATTGCAAACTAGTTTGAACACTAGTTGCAGCACATACGGACACCTCCCTGGCACTACTGAAAAAAACCTCCCTGCAGTTATGGATTCCTTAGTGCTTTTTATATCCAAGTTTGACTCAAATTGTTCTTTGTTTGCTCAGAATGGTGTGAATTCATCCAGAGTGGTTTTGCTGTAAGGGAAGCGGGCCACGTTATTTGTGAGGGTCAAGATACCTTTATTTGGCCATGCTCAAGCAGATTAAAAGGCCAAAACAGATCTCAGTTTGATTCCTATTATGGGATGCTGGCTGCAGAACACTTCAAAACAATAATAATTGGAAGTGGCTGAGATGTTCAACTTGAAAATGTGCAGTAACGAAGTGCCAGGGCACCCTGCAAACAGAGACCCACGTGCATCGCAGTAACCTCTGCCACATGGCAGCACATAAGCTGTATCCCTCCCTGAAGCAATATGCCCCCCAGTATTCCTGGGCCCAATCCATAAGGGGCTTAATTTCTCTCACCTCCTTTTCCCTGTGGAATTCAGCAGAAGGGGCCCATGTAGCACGGCTCCAGCTGCACTCTGTGAGGCTAGCCAAGCATTTGTACAAAAAGCAACACCTTCACCCCAAAACAGGGACAGCCTTATCTCTGCCCATGTGCTTATGTTCCTAAAATAACATGGGCCTAGCCAGTGCTTCTGGACATTGTCTGCAGTGACACTGATAGCAAAGTTCAGGCTTTAACCAGGAACTAGTGTGTGGATGTGCTCAGGTAGTTTTCCTCACCCAACTCCATGAATTAATTACAGTTTTGTACAAGACTGAAATGGAAACAAGAAAAACTCTCTTCCCTTCTTCTCCTTCCATCAAATTCATGCTCTGTGGAAGTGGAAAGATGTTTGGAATAAACGCTTCCTTCCCCTTATGCCTTTGTCTGCAAGTATAAATACTACTGGAATTTAGTTTTCTTCTCATCATTCATTAAAAGTCTACATCTGCACTTAACAAATGGGTCTTTGCTACCTTTGACTTTTTTATGATGTTCATGTACCAGGGTTTCTGAAAGACGTTTAAAATGAATGCTAGCCATTATGGGATGCTGCCTAAATTAGAGTCAGGCTCCAAGGCTCTTTCTGTGATCCAATTACGCCATGTGCTGTATTCTTATTCTTGGCCTAGGCAGGACAGTGCAAGGCTCCTTAATGTCTGTATAGATTCAATTAAATCAAGTACATTGGACACTCACTAGGTTTGGCTTTTCCCTGGCCTCACATCTAGTACAGGCTAGCTACTAAACCTTAATAGAAAAAGGGAAAAAATAAATAAATAAAATCAAAGACAAACAGTGGAAGTCATCATGCCTGCATATATGCCTGCTGGCTAATATTGTTACTAACCTATCCAAAAAGGTACAAAGTCATGCAGTTTACACTTCAATCCCTACAGTTTGGGTTTTGTTACTGCTAAAGAAGTAGAATTCAGATGGAGGGCAGAAAGGGCTGTCTAATACATGGTGATTCTGCCTGCTCTTGCAGCTTGTGTTTCAGGCATTACTGCATTTCTCCATGCACACTGAATGCTTCCATTTTCAGAGGGTATTGGCATGCTTTTGGCGAAAGCAACCAAACCAAATAGGCACATGGTGAAAGAGGGCATAGAAAAAAAAAAAGAGAGATAAAGGATAGTTGTTTCCATTCTGCATATCTCTTCTCAGAGTCTTAAATTCATGGTGATAAGCAGAGTATAAAAAGGGAGCAGACTCCTTTCCTTGTATGAGAAGTTGTTGGCAGATGGGGACCCAGCAAGATCAGCTGTGAAATGCACGCATAGAAAGGCCCTTTAGATTATATACACAAGTGTAACCCACAATAAATAGCACTGTTATAAAGGTATTTCCGCGTGGTTGTTATTGTTTGTTATGGCTGGAGATGGCTTGCTTTTCACCCCCTCTGTCCCACCCTTCGACACATCGATGAAGAGCAGCCTTGGAGTCCGGAGCGTCAGCAGTATCCTTTTGTACTCCTTTCGGAAATTCTGGTTAAGCAGCCCATAGATCACTGCATTGAGGCAGCTGTTAAAATAGGCCATAAAATAGCTCAGGACAAAAAGCCATTCTGGAATGTGCGGCTGTACTTTTGAAGGACTAATCGAAACAGCAAGGCCAATAAAGTTTAACGGTCCCCAGCACACAGCAAAAAGGACAAAAACCACAAACATAGTCAAAAAATTCCGGATGTCAGCTGCTCTGAGCTTCTGCTTGCAGTCTTGTCTCACCCGCTGTTTGACTTGAATCACCAAGATCCAGATCCGTAAGTAGCAAAACGTCACGATGGAAAGTGGGACGATGAAGTGAACCACCACCACTGTGATGGTGTAAGATGTACTCACTGTCTGGGCAAAGGTGCAGGAGTAAATCCGAGGGTCATAACGCAGGGAGCCAACAAAGAAATTTGGCACGATTGCCACCACCGTCAGTATCCACGTCAGGCAGAGATAGCAGCAGGTGTTCTTCAGGTTGAAGAGCTTATCATACCGCAGGCTGTGGCAGATGTAGCAGTAGCGGTTGATTGCGATTGCAGTGATGTTGAAAATGGACCCGATGACACTTAAGCCCATCAGGAACCCACTAATCTGGCAATGAACATTCCCCATTGTCCATCCGTTATGGAAAATGGCACTCAAGATCAGCGGATACGGATACACCGCAACTACAAGGTCTGCAACAGACAAACTGACGACAAAGATATTGCCTACAAAAAAGGAGAAGAGACCATGAGAAGTTAGCGTAGGTCTGGACAGACAGCTCCCAACTCACAACTGCTCAGGCTGCCTCTGCTCCCAGGCTTTGCTCTACCCTCCACTGGGAGTGGGAAACCCTAGAAAAGAAGACCTTGCTGTGCTAGTGACAGCAAAGGAGAGTAACTAGGCATCATTAATCTGCATATCTTCTTAAAAAATTCTTAACTGGAAGCTTATACTTAACTATCTTGAACCAGGATTCTAAATTGCTATGGGTTTTTATGAGTGAATGATACAGCCTTCCCTGTGATGCAGCCAACACCACTATAGTGACCAGACAGCTACACAGTGTTTGCTGTCCCGCAGGGAACTTCATTCCTTTAAGGACTACACAGGACACAGTACTTTCTGCAATATCATATAGCGACACTTTACAAAAGTGCTGTTCATCAAGCAAAGTTAAGTCTTTAGCAGTTCATTACTGTGTGACCTGCATGAGGCAGCTCTTTTTTGCCCCCGAACAGGCACCACCTCAGCAGAATCCTGCAGTGCTCATGCAAAGGAGCCACAGTGCAGCTCTGCTTATCTTATTCCGTGTGTTTTCCTAATCCTTTAGTATTGAAGTGGATGTGCTATGTGAAAGGTCAATCGCTCCTACACTGTCTGGGCCTGGGCAGGGAATATGATTAATAACCTCCTGTCAGCTATCTCTGCAGAGTGTATGCCACAGGCTGACCATTTAGGCTTTAAAAAGAAGAGACTTGAGAGTTTGTGCAGATACAAAATAATTTAAGACTTTCTGGATTGGAAACAGCACATTTTATGGAGCAGTACTGTCAATTACACTGCCTGGAGTAAAAGCGTCGCAGCCTCCAATGAGTTTGGCAACCAAAGATTTTCTACAGTGGTTTCCAAATGCTGGCAAGGCTGCGAAGCTCAAAGGCGCTGCCTGCAGGAGCAAGCAGCATCGCCACACCACTGAGAGGTGCGAAGTGAACTCCTCTGGGCTTGGAAATTGTTCCTGGATAATATACATAAATAATCCTCCAAACAGGATTAAAAGCCAGGCCTCCAGCTCTGGCTGGAGTATGAGCTATTTAGAATAATGTCTTGCTCCCCCTCTCCCCTTTTGATTCCAGATTATTTTCCTATTTTTTGGCAGAATGGAGATGCAAATGGGGCCTCCATACCCAAGCCCTGCTGCACCCCTCTGCTACCCCTCCCTGCATCAATCTACACAAAGGTGGGAGCCAGGCACCCACAGATCCCCTCGTGTTGGATGATCGTGTCCCTTAGGACTGCTAGGGTACAACTGGTATTGCCCTCCATACCAAGACTACTCTGAGGGAAAATGTGACACCAGAGGCCTCACAATGATATATTTTTTTTAATTGCAAAAATTTCAACCCATCTGCCCCAAGTATGCACTTGAAATAGCCTCTTCATGAGAAAGCACAGATCCAACAACAGGCAGAATTTGCTTTAGGAAGGTTTAACAAGTAGAAATTAAAAAACTTTTTTTTTTCAAGACAGCAGAACACAGAAAGATACCAACAGCCCAGCTTAAGAGGACTTCAGACAGACTCCACTGTCAGGAGCACAAATTTCCGCCTTCCATTGGATCTGTTCTACTTTGTGTACACATTTATATATTCAGCGGTTACAGAGCAAACCTCTACATTTGCTTGGGATAAAAGACAGCCACATTCAACGCCCAGATCTGCATCAGGCAAAGCAGAACCGAATATCCCCTACTTAAGCCAACACATCAGTGGACTTAATCCAAAGCTTAGTAAAATCAGAGGGAAAATTATTAGCCTGACATCACTGCCACTGCTGCCAATCTTTCCTCACTAATTCAGATAGTTGTGAGAAAGTAAAATAATAAAAGTAAAAATTAAATATTCCCAGAATGGACTTAGTTTGGATTCAGTATAGGAGCATATTACTGTATTAATCATTCCCCATGTTGCTGTATGTTGCTACAGCAGGGAGAAAATGGGATGGCTTTATTAAGAAGTAATTAATAATATCTCTGTTTTACTTGGAGAGCAAACCTGTTATCCTCTGCTCTGTGCTCGTAATCTACAGTCTTGATTCCCCCACCAGCTAGATGGCAAAGCCCAAAGGCGGGGGTCAGCTTCCTCCAAGTAAGGTCAGAAAGATTAACCCAACATTATTCATAGAAACAAGCCCAACTCTCATTTTACTTGGGAAGTGGTCAACTTTGTATTTATATTCTGCAGAAGTGAACATGAAGGTCAGTTCCCTAAGGCAAAAGTCTTGTTTCCTAGATTTGCTGTAGGATGAGATCAGGCTCTCGTTCCCCAGAATACCATAGACAAGTAAGAATGGGAAAACATCTATTCTGTGGTTTTGAAGAAAGTAAACAGCAGTTTCCCACTCATGGCCTTTCACATGTCACTACTGAATCTTTTTTATTTTATCCACTATGAAACAGAGGAGTCCTGCCCACAGGTAACATCAGAAGAGCTTCCTCTCAATGTTAAAATTATCTGATTCCACGACACTGTTTTCAGATCCATCTTTCTTCTCTTTGCGAACATGTGACTATCATTTATCATTAGCTTTCACAATATTCCCCACATTTTCAACTTCTCTTTGGTATAAATTTGTTTGTATTTCACAGCACTGCATTTTCCAGTTACTGATTTCTGCTCAGAGAAGCACAAATAGCAGAGACATTAGCTATAGCAAGTGCAACCATAATACAGTCTTGACCACTTTACCCAAGAAACTTTCCTCTTTTGACACGCCAGAAGTCCCTGCAGGCTGCCTCAGCACTACTGGCTTCCACACAAATGCTCGTCATTCCTCTGCAGAGGGTTAGAGCAGTGTTACACAAACGCAGGGCTCTGGCTTTGCCTGTCTTGTGGCACCGCTACAACCCCTGTGGTGCCCAAGGCCCCGCAGCTGAGACCCCTGGAGCGGCACTCCTGGACTGTCCTTTAGGACACATGGACTGTGTTTTAGGCATCCTGAATCTAGAAGCAGGGACAAAAAGAACTAGGGAGTATAATATTTTTCTGAAAATTGGCAATAATAGTACATCCTCCAAAAGCCCAAAGCAAGCATCCAAAAGCCACATAGCCTGTCATCCAAAGAGAGCCCTTATTAGAGCTGTGCCTGCTTCAGGTTAACAATTACAGGTGTGCAACGTGCCTGACGTCCATGCTGTGTCTCTAACCCAGCACTGAAACAGAAATGCACCAGGTGCTAGGAATTACTCCAAGGAAAGCAGTTTTGCGGATAACTTGCACGTGCCAGCGGCATCCAGTTCCAACCGGGGAGGCTGTGCTGCTCCACGGACAGTGTGCAGGGAGCAGCTTCCCAGGAGGAGGTGACCCATGAGCCAGACAGTGTCCATGCTGTCACCTCCCTGTCCTGCTCCCGCTCGGGGAGCGCAGCCGCATCGGCCGCTGCTGCGTTCCGGCAGGGATAAAAGCACATGTTGAGGAAGCACACAGTGACACACGGTCGCTTAATGCAAAAAGTTTACTGGGTAACTGAGGTGACACTTTATTATTTGTGGAGTATAATAAAAAGCTGCTTAAACATTAAGTGTCTCTTGGGTTTTAGGGAAAACTAGACAGGCTCAGGTCCAGAATGAGATAAACTGGGATTGAAACTGATACTAGCATCAAAGAGAATATATATATAATAAGGCTCAGTAAACAATTTAACAGGCCATGACTGTAAAGCAAGCTTCTGATGACCACTTACCATAACCAAATACTCTCTATTTAACCTTGCAAAGCTTATGTTCACTGCAAAGCAGAAACAATATGTACTGTTTGCCCTAAGGAAGAGATAAAGTCGTAGAAGCTTTATTCAGCATGCACCAAGACTCTTTATTAGCTCCGATAGCCTCCTTTTCAAGTTTGTTTTTAGCTGCCATTAGCCATGAGTTTGTTTCTGTTGCAGTAATCCCCCACTCTGCACACTGAAGTACTTGCTCAGTCCTACAAGGTAAGTAGCAGTTCACAACAAGCACTTTCAAAACAGTTTTGTCCCTGCTTTCTACAATATAAAGATACCCCTAAGCATTCACAGGTATGTTGATCATATATTGCCGTATTTTGTGGTACTAACACTGCAAATGAAGGGCTTGTGATCCAACGGGCATTTCCTACATTGCAAGCTCCAAACGATCACTCCTGGGAAGAAAGTATTTTCCCATTCAAAGATTATTAAGAATGACACTTCTCTAAGGGGCTGTGATCAATGTCATTGCCCCATGCAAGCTCTTGGCCCCCAGGGCACTTACGCTGTGAACACGGTGCAGGCAACGAAACAAGGAACAAAAAAAAAAGACTGTTAATTATTGTCTCTTTTGAGCATTCTCAGGAGCACTAATACATACGATGTGCCAGGATGAGAGCCCAGCATGTGCTTGTCCACTGGGACAACTGAAATTGGAGCACAAGCAATGCTGGAGATCTAGACAATGGGGGAAGAAAGTCTGTTGTTTAGTTTATTAACCTACAGGTATTGACTGAAGATTGTATTTGTGGATTTAGGAAGTATGTTCAAGAAAAGAAATAAACAAGAGAAAGAAGAAAGCAGTAGATCAAATATCTAACATTATTCCATCAGGATGCAGAGTGGGATGAAGTGCAGTGTCACGTAGCTAAACAGACAACGCTGCTGGGCTGCCAGCTGTTCTCAAATTCTGTCTGCGCTGCATAAAACGATACAGAGGATAATGAAACCACAGGAAAGAGGAGGTGTCATCAGTCTACAGCAACCTCAGAATACAAGGCTAGAGAACATGGAGACATCTCATTTAAGGACACAGTGAAGGTCCTTCTAGACAAAACTTTACCCAACCCAAAAGTTTCCACTTTTTATGGGTAAGAGGCTCTATGAGATCTCCTAGAGCAATCGGGAAGCCAGTGAATATCCAAGACGTTCCTTCCCATATACACTTTGGGATACTGCCTCTTTCAATGCACCCTCCTGGCAAACTATCTAGGGATGGCAGGCTGAA